TTGAAATGCTTGTCTAAACTGATTATATATTTTGAGAGTGGAAATTACAACTGGACTTGAGGAAAACTGCGATGTGAGAATGGTGACTTCATTGTAATCAGCACCGCCAGTGATGCTGATTTGCAAGACTTAGCCTCCGCTTCCCACCATTCTATATGTGTGGACTGAGCTCTACTAGACATTTCTTACTGTGAAACGCTCAGACACCTGATGCCAGCTCAAGGTTTCATTATTGGCAAAAGCCTCCAGCAGGCCCCAGGCTCCAAACAGACACAGGAAAGATGCTCCGGTTCCATCAGCATCTCATCCTCCTTCACTTTTCTCCCTCTAGACAGCTTGCAGATCGATGTCTGCGATAGACACTGATCATCATGCATAAATAATCCAGGACTGTAAAACAGAAGTGAGAATGCTCTGACGTGTCAGGAGTGAGAGCTGATCTCCTTCACCTTACTGAAGACACAATGGCAGTTTATTTAATAAATGAGATGGCACGTGAAGACACTAAATAAACATAATAAATAATGTAAACACTGTGACTTTAAGATGGAAAAAGCATGTGCTTGTTTAGGATGTTTCTACTTTTTTTTAGTTTTTTTGGTACAACTGGCACATTAACACTTTTGTCGTCCTGCGCTCATCGCAGCATCTGCTGAGATAATGATAATAGATGTTACATTCAAGAGGGTTCAAACTCCCAGCAGTGAATTCCACACTCCAGCAGTGATTTTAACATACTGTCACTGTTCTCTCCAGGTGTGAATTACACCTATTTCTGCAGCTCTGCATGTGACCCAGCAGTTCAGAGTGCTCTGATCAGGAGATTTGTCTCTTGCACGTCAACTCTGAGAGATTTACGTACATCCTGGACTGTCCAGCCTTTGTAAAGCCAGCTAAGAGCAGATGTCCTATTCCTCACTGATAACACAATGTGTTAAGAGCAGAGAAATTAATCAAACTCACCCAGAGTCACCAGTGTGTAAGCAGAGATTCTCTGATTTATTACTGCAGAGCAACATGACGTTCCTATGAAGGCTTATGTAACACGGCTTCCCTAATGAATAACCACTTTTGACCAACCAACTTTATTAGATATTTTTTTTAATTCATCGTTATCTAATGATTTTGTATATTTTATCATTCATGCACATTTCCCTTATGTTTTTAAACATTTAAAATTCATTATCTAAGGTTCACTTTAAGTTAACCTATAGGCCCTTTCGCACCGCTTTAGTTCCAGAACTAAATGTACGGTACTAAAGTACTGGGACGATTTTGCGCAAACTATTTCCCAGTACCATTTAAAGGGTTGCATTCGCACCGACAGTGTGTACTAAGAACCGGTCTACAGCGACGTCATTTGTGCGTGGCGTTCAACAACTAAAACAAAGATAAACAACATTAACAACAGGAGGCTGGAGGACGCTGTGATCGGAGCTGTGTGTTTGTTGTGTCTCGCGGGTTTCACAATTAGTTCCACAATTAGTTCTGGTACTATGAAAAGGTTCCTGCGGTGCGAAAGGCCCTATTAAAAACACTTAATAACATTTAAAGGGGTCCTATTATGCTCTTTTACAAAGTCTTGATTTTGTTTTGGGGGTGTACTAGAACAGGCTCTCATACTAGGTTGTTCGAAAAACACATTATTTTTCACATATTTTACATTATTACAACACCTCTCTCCCCAGTCTGGCATGAACGGCTCGAATAGTTCCTGTATCAAATTAAAAAGGCCCGCCTTCTGAAATACGAAGTGTGCTGTGATTGGTTAGCTGGGCCAGTGTGTGTTGTGATTGGCAGCACTCGGCACCTGGTCGGGATATGTCATGCCCCTTACCATAGCCACCTGCCAGCTTCAGTGTAAATACTGCGTCAAAATCAATTCGCGATTTAAACCCGGATGATTGTAATCACTCAAAGTTCGTCTGCCTTGGGAAAGCTAGCGTGTCTCCGACATAGTGATAACACTCGTTCCCTTCTCTAGTGCAGCTCAACCAGGTCTCGTCCCATTCGTCAATATTTGTGATATCACAAATCCCGGAAAATATGCGTTGTAGTCCAAACGAGCCGTTCATTGTAGTTTTTGTAGTTTACATTGTAGTTTTTGAAAAGTGATCTCTGTTAAATAAAATATCTCCTTTTGAAGTGGACTTTGAGCTTTGCAGAGCTTTGTTATGCCCAAACAGCAACATTACAGACTAACTAAAATTGAAAAAGTGAAAAAGCATTATAGGACGCCTCTGAACTGGTAAAAATGTTAGCTCTTCAGCAAATCTCAAAATGAATATTTCTTTTCCATAGATGTTTTGAAGCCTAATTTCACTTGTAGCACTGAAAACCACTGTTTTAATTCTGTTTTACTATTTATTTATTTAGACAAAATAGTGCATTTTGCCATTTTTTTGTTTATTCTTAAATTACATTTTGATGTTTGAATTTAAACGAAACTGATTTTTGTTTTTAGTGTTTTTTTAAATTTATAAGACAAAACAGTATAAATTGACAAAATAGTATAACATTAATATCAGCCATTGTTTATTTATTTATATTGTTATTTTTAATTAATTTATTTTTTATTAGAATATGCCTAAATACTTTGTAGCATTTATTTGGAGGTTGCCTTGTGATACCTAAATACACTTGTAGCATTTAATGTAACAACTCATTTTAGTTTTCAGAGGTTTTATTTTATTTATTTAGCCAAAGTAGTATAAAATATTAATGTCTGCCATTTTTATTTATTTTTATATTAGAATGTTGTGATGCCTAGCAATTGCAGCATTTAAAACAACAGATTTTTAGTTTTCAGAGGTTTTATTTATTTAGCCAGAGTAGTATAAAATATTAATATCTGCCATTTTTATTTATTTTTACATTAAAATGTTGTGATGCCTAACAACGGCAGCATTTAAAACAACTGATTTTAATGTTTTATTTAGACAAAAATTAATTTTATTGATGCCTTGTAGCATTTGAAACAAACCAAAATATGAGCAATAGCCTTCACTTAGTCTGATATGCAAATACAGTATGGATATCTAATACAAGTCAGGTGTGATTAGATTAGTACAATGCAAATAAGGATCAGGTTTGCAAATTATTCAACGATACTTCATGGAATTTGAATTTGTATAATCAAACGAGTCTAACAGATCCTGCCGGAGTGAATTGACACAAAAGCACCGATTCCCACAAACAGGAAACAATAACGGAGCCACGGCTTTGGGAATCCCATCAGCACGTACGGGTAACGGATAGACATGAAGGGTGCGTCCTGGCACAGCTGTCCCCTGGGGTGTGGGAGACAGCTGTCCCGCCAGAACAGAGCCAGCAGTGTTCCAGGAAAAGTGTCGATCAGCAGAGCTCACTCGTCTGGGCCTCCTTGTGCAGTCGAAACAAACTCAGCATGTGAATGAGCCGTGTTGTCATAGGCAGAGACAGACGGCACAATGGAGAGCTGCTCAACCTCAGTACCGCCAGCCGGTACAAAGAACAGCCCTTCAGTACACGCTGATAACTGGGGAGCCATTCAATTGAGCATCACTCGGAAACACTCTAAAACACTAATTATATTCCGGGAAAATATTCCGGTAGGTCAGCGTGAAGATAACAGCCTGTCGACGACATGAAGTTAACGCTGGATCCTAAACAGATGCTTCTCAGTAAAGCAGCAAGCAATCATTTTTGGTTCTGAGTTTTAGTCTAAGCATTTAGGTTTTGTTTTGCATGATGTAAAAACAGCCCATAGTGAAATCTCATTGGTCTTAAATCCAAAAATCAAATGCGTCCTTATAGGTTGTGATTTTGTAATTCCACTTTTAAGTTAAGTTTTATACAGATGAGGAGCAGTAATTCAGTCCAATGAGTTTGTAGTGTGGGCGGGGCTACTGTCGCAACTTCCACTGATCTAAATTCATTCAATTTAAAGCACTACAGCTACAGCCATGAAAACACTGCTTATCGAAAACATTTGCCTTCTTTAATAAGTTTAGACAATTTCAAATGTCAAGTTATTTTTTATAATATTAAATATTTATGTACATTTATTAATAATACTTAATTCTACAATATTTATATTAACATTAATACCAAGTAGTTTTAATATAATTTTTTTTTTTAGCAGCAAAGCACAGTCACTATGGAATTTTGTTTGTGCAAACAAATTTACTGGCTTCAACAATAAATATTCACAATTCAAATGTCAAATAATTTTTTTATTATTTTTTTCAAATATTCAATAAGCAATATTTATAATATTAAATATTATTTTTGTATTAAAATAACACAGTTTTAAACACATAAAACATTAAGAGCAAACCGTTTTAATATTTTAGCAGCAAAGCACGGCCATGTAAATATTTTTTTTTTCATGTAATATTAAATATTTAAAATATATATATATATATTTAATATTAATTTTCCATATTAAATAATTGTTTAATATAAAATATTTTATATATTATTTTAAATATTAAATATATTAATACTAAATCATTTTAACATCTTTTTCTGTTTGTTTTTTGACAGCAAAGCATGGCTGCTAAAATATTACTATTACACAAGTGTAAGATAACTAACTAAACAAATAAAGGTTAAGACGACCTCAGAAAAAAATGTCACTTGCTGGACGTCTAGTTGACCATCCTTCTGCCCTACCTCTAGTCAGTACATTGTATCAGGACACTCTTCGAATTTCACTCAGCACTTGAAGAACCCATAGAGACACCGATCATCTCTAAAAAGGGAAATCAAACAAACTACCTACTGTCAGTTCCATTCTAAAGGACAAACTCTGTTTTTCAGCATGATCAACAACATATCATGTATCAAAAGTGTCACCTATAGATAAAGCCGAGTACATTCCTCATATCAGATGGATGCGCAGATGTGCTCCAGAGATTTTCTGACTGTAATCCAATCAGACTGCGGCCACATCACGAGACGGTATGAGATGATGAATGACAGAGAGGCGAGGCAGTGAAGAGGCTGAGATCACTTACCCAGACCGGAGGCGTAAATGGCCTTAACTGACTTCTTCATCTTATAAAGGACACTGCGGTCCACATCCAGGGCCTAAACACAGACACAGAAAGAAACCGAGATTTAATATGTGCATCCCAAAGCCTTTAGGACATGAATACAGATGCACATTAACATCAGCACTACTGCACCACACACATTTATCAAAGACCCTTAATTATCTTTAGGTTACGCTCAAATATGAATCTCACACCTACACAGACTCAGGTGTGTGTGTGTGTGTGTGTACATGGGGGGCAGAACCTGCTGTCTTCAGTCTGCAGGTGATTCATTATTCAAAAGCCAGCTCCTAAAAATACTCCAAAACAATCCCTGCATTGCAGGAGCAGCGGAAGTCGGCAGGCAGGACTGCACAGCTGAATCTGTACACATTCACGAAAAAACAAACCTCCCCAGGAGCACCACAGCACGCAACACACACACACACACAGAGCAATATAGCATTAAAGAAGAGTACGAAGCAGAAGCTAGAAAATACCACACTTTAAAGCCTAAATCTGAGTGTTGTTATTGTACACAGTTTTATGATTCAAATCAATTGCGATTCACAAGCTCTTGATTTTTGATTAACATATATGATATAACCACATTTATTTGGGTTTGTTACAGTTATAATGTAATTGTTGATTACATATGAAAGACTTTCTTGCTTCACTAACACTGTTAACTCTTCATTAGACTCAGTAGACATTTTCACAATATAACATTTCATTATTTATTTAATAAAACAGCTACATTTGACAATATCTATTTATATCTGCTCTCAAATGGCTTGAAAGGGGGAAAGAGACCAAAACATATTTGAAACATGCCAAAAATGTTAAATAAAATTATATTTATTGTATTACATGTTCCCACTATAAGACAACTTAAATACCTGTAAAAAAAATTTTTTTTTAATAAAATCTTGCCTACACATAATCTTAAAATTCAGTCTTTTTATTCTTCTTTTTTTGGTCAATTGAAACCGATTCATGGAAATGAATCACATTTCTTAACTTTTAATGCTACCATTATTTTTTTTTATAGTCATATAATCACAAAAACTTTAGGCCAAATTGTACAGCCCTACATACAAGTTCAGCAAACCTGGTGTTTTATTAAAACACACACACAAAAACACATTTTGCTATATAAAATTGCAAAAACAAACAATTAAGATTTAATTTTTTTCCTCAAATCATGCAGCCCCAACAGCATACCATTCAGTACCACAGCAGGGTGAAACCTACAAAAAAAAATATGATACCAAATCGAAAATTTGCATTGAAAAGGGAAATAGCGTCTCAACATAACAGTTCCTCTACTGAAGCAGCCCAGCTCAGATGTGGTCAGCCGATTACACATCCTCCAATCACCTCTCAGTACCTCCATGCTGCTTATAAAGCCTCAAACCTCCAGATAAATCTAACGAAACACCGGCCTCAACATCCTCTGCCATTTGGCCCTGTTCACAGGAGCCTTCGCTGCTCCCAAAATGGAAGAAAGTAAATCCTGCTTTTATTAAAAAATGCTGTGTAATATTTATTTTCCAAACATGTCATAGGGAAGCTATCTAGATGCTCGTCTGATGGCTGTACGTGTTTTATTTAGTGGAGCGTTCGGTTTCAGAGCGGTAGGTAGACTGACAATGCTTTTACTCATGATGGGGAGTGAGCCGGACCATGAACCACCAAAACCAAGACGCCTGACAAAGCAAAATGAGAGTTTACTAAGAAAACAGTACAGTTATTAATAAACCAAATTATTTCATAACAATAGAAATAAATTTACACTAACACCACATTAACTATCCACAGTTTTGTGAAACTACTACCACTTCAATAACCACAGGAAAGCATCAGCCAGTCTTTCATATAATTTCATCCTTTTTCTTAGTTATCTTTGAGAGGGATTACACCTCAGCAGTCAGCACACAAAAATAATGATATTTTTTATTAAATACAACTAGAGTTATCGAGGGAGAGAGTGAGATGTGACCTAAACTTGACTTGAGTCAAACAGGGAAGCAGTTTCACATCAGACTACTGAGTAAAAAAAAAAAAACTCACTTCACAGTGTGTCTTTGTTTCACACACAGAGATCTACTATACAACTGTCCTTCACTGAAGTGACATGAGAATTGTAGGAGAAACAGGACTTTATTACAGCATTCATAAGTGGGTTACTTGTATTAGGTACTAATCCCTGTGACTAGTTAAGCATCAACCACCTGTCTCTTTACAATATTTTAATGCTCTGCTCCAAAATGTAGGAGATATAATAAGAGTCTGATGTTAGAATTAGTGGTTCAACGGATCACAAATCTCACGGTTTGGATCACATTACGGTTTTTGACCCACGGATCGGATCATTTTTCGGATCAGCAAGAAAATAAAAATATTTCAATTGAACTTGCTTTCCATTTATTACTTAAAGCGAAGTACTTCTTTGATACCACAGCAAATACTACTAGATTAACAAAGAAAGTTTAAACATGATTAAAGAGACAAGAGAACAGCCAGTAAAAATAAGAACAAATACACAAATTACAAGCATAGAGAAATACAACAGAATGTTACAAATAAAATAAAGTTGGTAGTATTCAAATACAGAAATTTAATAATTAGAGAAAATAACACTGCATAGTGTTCACTGTATAAATTAAATATAGATTTTTATCACAGCTGTTTTGTTGTTGTATTTATAGGCCGCTGTCCCTTTAAAGGGGTCATATGATGCGATTTCAAGTGTTCCTTTCTCTTTGGAGTGTTACAAGCTGTTCGTGAATAGATAAGATCCCTGAAGTTGTAAAGACTGAAGTCTCAAAACTCAAAGAGATATTCTTTATCAAAGTTAAGACTCTGCCACGCCCCCCTAAAACGGCTCGTTCTAACACGCCCCCACATATCTACCTCACTATTTGTGGAAATATTAGCGTAATGCCGCCCAAATGTGCACGCAAAGAAAGAAGGCGTGGTTTCAGTAACCGCAGTTAGTGTTGAAGCAGCCATGTCAGGGAGAAGCTGTGTGTTTCAGTGCGAAAGCAAAAGCACTTTATTTGGCCTTCTGGAAGTAGATGCATTTAGGAATCTTTAAGATTACTTACAACAGAACACCGTTTCGTGAACCTAGGAGAGGAGGTAATTCTGACTTTGCTATGACAATCTGGCACTTCTGAATCAGCTACTGTTTTGTTATTAGTTGAAGTATTTGCTATTGACTGTTCAAATGCGGAGTTTTGTGCATCCTGTGTGTGTGTGTGTGTGTGTGTG